GCATTTGGAAATATGAGCAATATTTTCAAGGATAAAAAGGTGCCCATGAACCTAAAGAAAAAAGCTTACGACAGCTGCATTCTACCTGTGCTTACGTATGGCTTAGAGACTATGTCAATTACTCGAAAAACAGCAGAACAAATACGAGTAGCACAAAGAGCCATGGAAAGAATCATGTTGGGAGTCAATATTAGAGAAAAAAATACGGAATACCCACATACGTCAAAAAACAAAATTAATAGATGTCGTTAAAAGAGTGGCAAGTCTGAAGTGGCAATGGATAGGACATGTGGCAAGACAGGATTCAGACCGATGGCCCCAAAAAGTAATCCTATGGAGACCTAGGGGAACAACAAGAAGTGTGGGCCGACCAAAAAAGAGATGGGTCGATGACGTCAGGGCAGTGGCGGGAAGACAATGGATAAGATTGGCTAGAGATCGCGAAGCATGGAAAAACCTAGAAGAGGCCTATATCCAACACTGGATGGAACTAGGCTGAGAAAGAAAAAAGAGAAGAGATGAGACGATAATGCAATTTTATCGTCGTGTATGAAACAATTTTTTTTTCATATAGCCAGTTATGTTTTAAAAAATATTCAGAAATTATTATTTCAAGGAATTTATTACGAATAGAAAAAATATTGTGCTGGGTTGGCGTTGGTTTCTATGTAATTTGACAAATAAATAAAGCTGTCTCTTTAGTTGTCAGTTTTGAGTCAATATTTTTTAATTCACTTTCGTGTCGATTGCTGATTGAATTGGGGCCAGAAATGGCTCAAAACGAAATAAGTAAATTACCAACAGATATTCAGGCTGAGGCGACAAACGCCATATCCAAACTACTTCCATTTAGATCCCGAATAAATAAAAAAAAAAGAAAAGGAATACAAACATTTTCAAAAATGGAAGCAATTAAAAAACGTGCGAGAAGAAATAAAATGTTTAACCTATCCTCGCTGTTAAAGTATCATTTAATCTACCCTTGCGGTTAAACTACTATTTTTGATGGATGTAAGGCAATTTTAACAGTTTTAAAAATATATTATTATCTCAATTAAATCTTAAAACCAATACAACAATATAATGACAAAAGAGACCAAACTATTTAATTCAAACCTTCGACTTTAGAGCTCAATGCTTGAATATTTCAGTAAACAACGCTTGTCCGCATAAATATGTATCCATTAATGCCTCTCCCAACATGTAAAATATTGTGTAGTTTAAAAAATGCATCGAGATTAAATTGCAACAAGCCGAAACAGTAATGCTCGCTTCAAAATTCGGTCGACTAAATTATTAAATTGTTGTGTTGTACAAGCATTACTGTATTATTAAAGATTATTACGTGAAATGGCGAGCACTGGATGTATAATTTATATGTATAAGTTCATTGACTAAATTTGGTCTATATGTATATACCGTTATATTATTGGGCCACGTATAATACTCAAGTCAGTAACCATCAATTTGAAGATAGTCATAGAAGAAGCTGAACAAACTAGGTCTCTGTAAAACCGTCTCAGATACTGGCTTTTGTCAAAACCGTGAGACCGAAAAATAATATAAAAAAAGAGAAATAGTATTTTTCAAAATAAATTGAAGCATTCTTTAGCCGTAACAAATAACCTGCAATGACCCCACGAGAAAGAGATTTTAGTGCATCTCTCCGTTGTTGGCGATTATTAGCGAAAAAGATGAAAAAAGGTAAAAAAAGAGCGTATAGCAAGCCGCAGCCCGCCGACCATAACTAATAGCAGGTGTCATGGACGATTGTTTGAGATACTCATTTCGATTAAAGGCTCGAAAAATAAGCTTTTAATTAAAAAAGGAACGTTTTTGACGTTTCACCACCGTATACGCGTTCCGTATTAACTCGCAATCTTGATAATAATAAGTTTTTCGCTGTAAAAGGTGGATATTCAACTGTACCACATATATCATCGCTTTTAAACCACATTTTCTTTTAAATTCCTATCGTTTTTAACTTTATTTTTATCAAGAAATTTATTTTATGCCACTGAAGAAGTGGATGGCATAGATGAATTAGCTGAAGAAGTCTGATATTGGGTTAGAGTGAAGCTACAGTACCAAAAAAAAAGAGATTTATTTGAATTATTAAAATCTAACTATGTATGCAGCTCCCTGTATATTATCCATCGACTTCGTTCGCGTCGAATTAATCATTTGTAATGGTGATGATAAAGCAAAGCAAGAATTTCCATTAACATACAAACTGGATAAAATTTTCTCACATTTATGTCAGCATGAGAAAAAACAATATGGCGACATTATTATATAACTTGGTAATATTTGAGGGGTAGTTTCATCTCGTTGGAATTTGACTTTCGAAAAATCCGTTTGCCAAAAATAAGCTTTTTACGTCAAGCAGTTTAAGCATAATCGTGATTAGTCAATGGTCATAATTTATGAAACACTCTGTATTTTTTTTTAAAAAATCTTAAAATATGTAAAACAACAAAATAAAATATACGTGTTTAAGAGTTTTTCCGAAAAACTCACCGGTTTTTAAATAAAAAATATTCTAATATTTGAGGGGTGGTTTCACCCCCTTAAAATTCGAGTTTCGAAAAATCCCTTCTTATCGAACCTCTACACCCCAAAGTCAATCCGTTTTCCAAAAATCAGCTTTTTACGTCAAGCGCTTTAAGCAGGATCGTAGTTAATCAACGACCAGATTTTTCGAGACACCCTGTATACATTTTTAAAAAATCTTAAAATATGTAAAAAATAAAATATACCTACGTGTTTAAGCGTTTTTCGGAAACTTGGTCATTTTTTAAATAAAAAATATTGGCTGGTGGTTTCACCCCCTTGGAACTGGAATTTCGAAAAATACCTTCTTATCGAATCTCTACACATGCTCTACACCCTAGAATCAACCTGTATGCCAAAATTGAGCTTCTTACGTTGAGTGGTTTGAGCAGGATCGTGATTAATCAGTGAGTCAGTCACTTATGGATTTTATATATTAGTATAGATTACTTTAAAACTATTCTTTCTATTCAGAACAAACCAAAAAATTAATATATCGAAGTTACAATTCAAAAATTTCTTCAAATATCCTTAAAAATAATATGAATTATCATTGGTACATCCGTCGATCCTACATAAAACCGGCACGATCGAGGGACGTACCTCGAAAATCGGTTGGCACCCACTGCGATCTCTAGGGAATTCCTAGGTATTTTCGTCCGCCAGCGTTGTCGCTCTGACCAGCCGCAGTCAAATACCGTCATGGCGTCGAAAAGTTTATCAATTGAGGAAATTCATCAGTTTTTTCGCGAAAACGGTGGCAAAGTAAAAAACAAAGATGTTGTCAGGCATTTTAAAAAATACCTCACCGATCCCGCAACGAAAGGTATGTGCTTTTTGGCCCGTTATATTCACTAACTGCGTTTTATCGTGCTTTGAAGTGTTTGTTTACGTATGTGATATAACACCAACTACTTGTTTGATTGTTATGGAATCTTTTCGGTTGGTTTTTAAGGTGTTTATGTTTGTAAAAGGAGTCTTGGTTTAACGGTAAAGTACTACAATAGCTGTTACGAGCGGTGAATTCTTAATAAACCTTTTTTTCCTTAACAATAATATAACCTATATCACATGTATTGTTGTGACTCACATTCAATCAAGTAGGTAGATATAAATAATATAAATAATTTTTTGTGTGGTTGACGTTTTTTTGGCAAACTTATTTGCATATTCAAGCTGTGCGAAGCAGGTTTTGTTTTGTATTAGTTGGAATTGTGTCAATACCTAGGTATAACATCATCATCGAGTGTAGTTATTACAGAATACTTATTAATAGTTTTATTGCTTGTAGTTTGATTCAGGTATGTTATTAATAATCTAGAAAATCTGTGAATTAGGATATTTTTAATGAGAACTATGTAGGTACTTCGTTAAAACTGGTTTTGCAACATTTTAAAAATAGTTTTTTACGGTGCTAGTGCTCTCTGTTCTATATTTTATTTAAAAACCTTTATTCATTCTAATATTAAAGTATTTTGTAGCAAAATTAGTTTGCTTTCTTGTTGAGGTAATCAATTTTTATGAAGTGGTTGTGTTATTTTAATAGTAACAAACATCTAGTTATTGTAAATCATATTTTTAACCATTATTTTTTTAAACTTCAAGGATAGCTGTGTTTTTTTGGAAAAATGAATACAATGATATGGCACACTTTACACTTTTTTTGTTTGGGGTCCCTTAACAATAACAAAACTATTTAATTATTATTTAAAATAATTTCAAGTCCGACTGTGGTTTTTTAAATTATTTAGTCTGATTATACTCATCGCAACAATATTGAACAGCGCTAATTAACATTGAATAAGGAAAATCGTGGCCAATTGAAAGATTCAAATAAAAAATATCCAGGTCAGCAATTTAAATATATTATTTTTAACTTTTAAAATTATGAACCCTTTCCGGACACAAACGGTACATTGTGAGACAGGAAATTGTAGAGAGAAACAAGCCCCATAACATAGGATACAACATTTTAATGAACAGTGCTTTCCATAAAATCAATAAAATGAAAAATATACGAAATAATATACATGTACTGATTTCTTTCGAAAATCGACAACTATGAAACTATGAACTCTTCCCGGACACAAACGGTACATTGTAAGACAGGAAATTGTAGAGAGAAACAAGCCCTATAACATAGGATACAACATTTCAATGAACAGTGCTTTTCATAAAATCAATAAAATGAAAAATATAACTTTTAATTTTTTTTATTGTGAATTTGAAATCTCAGTGTATGATCTAATAATATGCATAATATTAATCGTAATTTTTTAATCGTTATTATAAATAAATCAACTTTTACAAACTAGTTTCTAATGCTCTACATGTTCGAAAGGGTTACCACCCTCCCTATTGCACAAATTTATTTTTCTTTCAATCTTAGTTATAGCTCTTTGAACATATCTTCTTTATTTTACCACCAACTTTTCTTTTTTTTTCAGACGAAAATCGAAAAAAATTCAAGGAATTCGTCAACCTTCTTGCCCACACTAAACAAGAGGCCGGCGAAAAAATCCTCATCCTCAAAAGCCAATACAACACCTCCAAACTATCCCTCACCTCCCGTACCTCCTCCACTACCTCCCTTACATCACCACCACCCTTACGCGACCCCAGGAACGCCATAGGCATCCCCACATCACCTTCCACGCCTCCCAGGCAACCTCCACCTTACCGAAACCCTCCTCCCGTTGTTTCTCCCAATTCCTCCTTCGATTCCATTAGTTTGAGTTCGACCTCCACTGTGGACGACCGTCCACAGGCACCTCCAAGACGAAGAAGCGGTTCGGAGGAGAAGAGGAACGTTTTGCCTGGCGGTGTGGTGTCGTCTTTAGCGGGAAATGGTGCTGGTAAGGAGGTGTTGAGTGTGAAAGAAAGGACGCAACAGTTTAACAGGATGGCTTCGACTGAGGAGGAATTGACGCCTACCAAGACGCCTAAAAGTGCTGAGAAGGAAAAGAAAAAGTCTAGGGTAAGTGGTATAATAATATTTATTTTGTACTGAATTAATGCAAGCTTATATCGTCTTATCATAGTTTAAGGAAAAGAGTAGTTGCACTCTCGCAAATATTTTCTGCCAGTTTTTGCAAGCTGGCAGGTTGCAAAGCGTTTCAGTTGAATTGCTGTGAGGTTCGAGCGTTGCGTCCGAGCACAGGGACGGATTGACAAAAAATGAGTGCCTTACTGTATGCTGCTATTAATTGTGGAAATCATTCAAAAAATTGTTCTTTGAATCTTTTTAGATTTTCATCGGATGTAAATCGGCAAAAGCTGATAGTAATTATCAATTAACATTTAATTATATTTGTTTATTTTAGAAGCTGAGATATTATGTAATTAATTAAATGTTATTATTTTTTTAGCATATGTGCAGATTTTAAAAATAGTTTTTTAGATATACAGGTTGTCTCAAATATGCGCATGAAAATATTTTTTGGTCAGGGGATTTTCCATAAAATTTTCATTCCAATAATAATTTACAAGATAATTTATATAAATTGGTTTTTGAAACAATTTTAGAGTAAATATTTTGTACATCTAAAGTCTCCGCAAATTATTCATATTTTTTAATTGAAAGAATTTTATAATAGCATAATCTCTTATAAATTTAGTGGACTGTATTTTTTTATGTTTTTTTATTTATTTTTTATTATAAGTGGTCGTAATATAACAATATTCAAAATATAGACAAAATATTGAGTTTATATTTGAGGGAAGAAAAGTGCTACCCCTAGCTTTAAACCACCGTAAATATACAGGGTGGCCCATTAGTTCGAGGAAATTCAATATCGTCGTCGTTGTCGAAGATGTGAAAAAAGTTTTATTCATATGTTTCAAGGTTTATAAACACACACAGGGTGTCACAAAAAAAGTTATGGTAAAGTTAGTTTGATTTTTTTTATTATTTTACATCATTCTACATATATTATTCTATATTGGGTATTTTTTATGGCGTCACCTAAATCGCAATATTTAAAATGGTATATCTCAACTTTTTTACATACGACATTCTGTATATTATTTTTCTGTCAGGTGCAGAATTAAAAAGTGAACATATTTTTATTAATTTAAAGTGTTTCTAAATTTTTACCGCTGTCGCAGATATTCGCAGTATTATATTACATATGGCTCTTTCAACAGTAAATTTTTTTCAAAGCCACCTAATATGATCTTTGTCTATCTTGTCTTGTCAAAAAATGTTCACCTTTTAATTCTACATCTGAAAGAAAAATAATATACAAGGTGTTGCATTTAAAAAAAATGAGATACAACATTTTTTAAATATTACGATTTTGGTGACGCCATAAAAAATATCCTGTATACGATAAAGTAAATTTTTCTACACGAATTTATTCCGATATCCTTCATGTTTAAGAAAACATAGCAAAGTATTAATAAAGTTACATATATTCACTCTAGTTTTTTACCACTTTTCGTATATAATGTTTTTAACCGAAGTTTTAGTAAATAAGAAATAGATTGGCAACACCGCAGTGTGCTTTAAATAAAGACAGTGTACTATAGCATAATTTTATGCCGAATCCAGTTATCTACAGAAAATTAAACTTGCTTTGAATAAAAAAAAAGTCGTAGAAAATCTCTTTTTTCCGCATTTCTTCCCATGAGAAGATTTTCAGATACAGAAGAATTGTTACATACAGTACGTCTGTCCGTTCTGTAGCTACGGGGTATCCGTGAGAGGGGAAACGATATTCTCTCGATGTTTTTCGTAAAAAATTAGACGACGCGTCCCATCAATAAAAAATTCGACAAATTTGCAAGTAGCCAATAAAATGAGCGGGCGGAGCGATTTTCGGTGACGTACTCGTCAAGTCGACGTATAAAATATATTGCTGATTATTTAAATGTTTTTTGTCCGCATTCCTTTCATAGACACAGATCCAGCAGACGTACTGTACACGAAATGTGAAAATATTCTGTTTTCAAGCAAGTTTTTACTCGATGATCATTTTTTTTATTATATTTTATTGTGAACTCATATTTTCCTAAATACATATCTGTGAAACTATGGCGAGTGTCACGTCTATACTTTGCCTAGTTAATAGACCACGACTATACAGCTACGTCGTCGGCTACGGAGGCGAGAACAAGGTCATATAAAGTGGCAGAAAAAGAACAAAGGATTTGACAAAGAGTAAAACTACTAGTTTCCTTATACTATGGTCTTATCGAACTAAACATGTAGTGATATACAGGGTATTCCATTTAAAAAAATTCAACTTCATATTCTGTACGTTTGGAAAACTGTAAAAACTTCATAGGTAATGTGTTTCTTTTAAAGAATATTTAAGCCTCGATCGGTCTAAAGCTCTTTAAAGAAGCAAAGCCTGTTAAAAGCGGGACAAAATGAAATGTTAACGTTGTAACTTTAATCACGACCCTCGTAGAAAAATTGAGATAATTAAGGTCCGATTTTCGTATGATGCGCGTGACACGCACGCCATTTTAAATCATATCGAAAACTATCCCGAACACACGCGCGGCGTTCCCGAGGGACTAGACCGACTAATAAATGCACTATTATTGCCGTTGTCCGAATTAAAATAATGAGCAATCGAGCTGGCCATTTATCCGACGATTAATTTTAACCGGTTGTCGGTGACAAAAAGGCCGAAACGAGTTGTCACAACTCCGTAGTGCGAGGTCCAATGTAATATGTATAATTCTGTAATAATGATTTTTTTATATTTTTATTTTACTTTCTTGGTTTTAGGTCAACAATTAATTTTTCTGTTATTTCATCAACTACATTTATTTTAGTTAATATTGGCTTACCTTTCGACCATTTTTTTGGCCTTTCTTCATCAGAGTCTACAATTACATTACACAATATTTTAGAACAAAAATTAAAAATAGCATAAAAATATTTTATAAAAACATTTTATCAAAAAACAACCACGGAAACAAGCATTTAACAAACAGCTCGGTTGCAAACTTCAAAAAAATATATTATAAACATACAGGGTGAGTTTCCTACGATGTTCTCTATGGGTATTTCGGAAACTACTGGAGATAGAGAGTAGGTTAAATGGGGAAAGAATTGCAGTTTTGTGGGATCATAAATATGCGCCTTTCAGATTTTTGAAAAAGTTCATGGCTTACTAGATATTTCGAAAAAAAAAACAAATTTTAGCTATTTTAAAAATTATCCCTAATTCTATTATAATCTATTTTAGACAAAAAGTTTTTAGATAAAAGTTGTAGAAAATCACATCCCTAATCAGTTTGTGTCCTCAGATTTTTTTCTGTCAAGTCTGTCATTTTTGACATATGACACAAACATATATGTTTTTTTTTAATGGAAACCATAATGGCCATGACTTCATAAAAGCGACATCAGCGATATAAGCTATAATATGTTTTTTTCGAAAAAAATACCGAGTTATAAGTAGCCAATTCTTATCATTTTTAAATAATTTCACTTAGTTAGCCATGGAAACAAGATCAATCGTCGTGAAATGTGAAACTGATGTCACTTCCAAATTTTGTAAATAAAAATAAACGAAAATTTTAAATACGAATTTTTCAAATGAAGAAAAGCGTGGAGGATTATTGGTTCAACTTTTCCTGGCCATACATTGTCGAGGATACGTTAACCGGTAAACGTTACCTACGTTTTTTAGAGAACGGTTTTCAAGACATGTTAGAAAAGTTAAATTTAGATACTTGTGCATCAATAGAGTGGTTCCAACATGACTTTCATTATGACACACCACCCCCACACAATGAAAGAAATGTTAAAAATTATTTTAAAAAAATGTGTTTATTTATTTAAAGTTTGATACCCTCTAGGGGACAAACAAAGCACTTTTGTATAGTAGTTCTATGTCCACGGAATATTGGGACACTCTGTATATTGAAAAATTTTAAATTCTTCAGACAAATAATGTTTATTTCTTGACTCTTGTTTCACTTGCTTTAAATTAGGTACTTAAAAAGCTATTTGTTTAAAAAAAAATCTATGTAGAGAGTACCTCTAGTAAAAATATATTTAAAATGTGCAAGACTTCCTAGAGTCCAAGAGACACTAAGACTACCTCATAATAGACTACTGTTCTACACCTATCAACTGTTAAAATAAGCACATACGACCCCGATCTAATGCACTTATAGAACCGAACCATCAAAAACAGCAAGGCTCATTATTTGTTCTTTCGAACAAGTGTCATCGACTGTATGTTCGCGGACCGTTGTAAAATTTCATTTTAATTTCATTTAACCCGGCCTGATGATGACAGTTGTTGATTTACAACCCCCAGCCCGAGTCTAAATAAAACAAAACAGTTGTGTTGGACTTATAATATGATCTATATATTGTCAAAATTATGATTATGTGCTTATATAGGAACAAAAAAAACGTTATATAATCTTGTCAAATAGTATACTAGAATTTGGATACCAAAGCTTGAACAGGGATCCTTGAGGCACATATCAGATGATCCAACCCTAACTTTGATACGACTGATGTCGGAGATGAAGAACTAACCTTTGTAAAACCGTCTCAGATACTGTTTTTTTTTCAAAACCCTGAGACTTGTATGATGAGTTATAACTCAAGAAAGAATATGGACAATCTATACTAATATACAGGGTGTTTCAAAACAAATGCGAAAAACTTCAGGGGGTGATTCCTTGTTCAAAATGAAGGGTAGTTTGCTTCATAAACGTTGGGTCAAAAGTCAACCATTAGGGAGATATCGCGGTACAAAGATGGCGGAAAAATAATGTTATTTTTTATCTTGAAAACGAAAAGAGATAGACTAATGAAATTTTATGGAAGCATTACTGTTATGAAAACACACTTTCTGGTAATTTTTTCACTTTTTTAAAATGAGTGGAAGGGGTCAACCCCAATAAACTACCCCTATCATTCTTGTTAACGAAATTTAAAGAAAAATCTTATCAAACACATGCAAAAAAATTAATTTGGACAGTTCAGTTTGTTTAGAA